TGGAATGTGAGGGATGTGAGGGGTGAGAGGTGAGGGGCATGGAGGTGTCAAGGGCAAGAGGTGCAGTGTCAAGGAGGTGAGGTAGGGAAGCCAGAAGAGGGTGGGAGGTCTGGGGTTAAAGTTGGGAGGAATGAGAGTGGGAGATAGAGGAGTGGCATGAGAGAGGCCCATAGTTAAGAGAGCAGCAAGGTGGGGAGGGGGATAAAGGACCAGGGTGGAAGGGGTGGAGGTAAGGTTGGGGAGAAGCAGAGGAGTGTGGGCACATGGATAAGGGTTAGAGAATGATGTGTGAGTGTGGTCTGGGAAGGGTCTAGGGTGATAAATAGAAGATTGGGCAGGTTGCAGAGCAGGGTATATGAATGGGCTAAAATAGGTTGGGTGTGGGCTAAAATGTGGGAGGAACATGGAGATGGTGGGGGATCTGGAGAGGTGTGTTTCAGCATGAGATCACTTTGCCACTCCAGGCTTAATCCACTATGTCCTTGTCCTAGCAATAAGCATTGCCTCTTTTCTGTCTAATTCTGGGTTCCTGTCCCTTCCCAGAACTCCATGCTCACTGAAGTCCTCAGTGATGAGGAGATGAGCTCCTGTGGAACTGGAGGCCCCTCCCACAGGGTCAACTTTGCCATGGTTCCTAGGAGGCAGCTTATTGACTGCCTCCCCCTTCTTCCACCCCCAAATGGGACCAGGACACATTTTCTGGCTTTAAGAGCTCTGGTCAAGGAGTAGGCTGGTGGGGCAATGGTCCTTGCCTGTCAGTTTGGGTGACAACAGGGACCACTGGCCAACTTGGGGCTCTTGCCCTTTGCCCAGAGTTCCCTGTTGTCAGCACCCCTCATACCCAGCATTAGCCCAGAGTCCTGCTTGGCAGGAAAACTATGGCAGGTGGGAGGAGAAAGGAAGACAGTGAGGCAGAAACAGCTGCTAGTCGGAGTGGAGGAAGAGCAGGGCCTCAGCGGGTATGGGCAGAAGGCAAGGCACTGGCTCTGGCAGCACCCCCGCCACCTTCTCCCCATGTGTGGGTGTTGAGGTCCAATCTCCTTCCCATCCCTCCTCACCCAATGCTGCTGTTCAGGGAGCAGGCTCTGCTCATGGGTCTAAACTCTGTGCTGAAATAGACCTCAGAGGTCACCTGGTCCAACTCCCCCCATAATGTGGTATGAGTCACCTCTATAGCATTTCTGCCCAGGGATCCACTTGTATCAGGCCAGACATTTCCTGGTTGCAAAAGCTCACCTCCTCCTAAGGCAGTCTGTTCCTTGTTTGGAACATAAAAACTGAAGTGAGCACCTCTGATATGCCAGGCCTAGATAATGTGCAGGCTTCTCATTCATAATGACCTCACATGGGGCTGTTGTGATGAATTAGCCCCATTTTACAGATGAGAAAAACAAGGCTCAGAGAGTTGAAGTCCAAAGCTTAAGAGTACCCTGGTAAGAAATAAGGAACACAGGACTTTCTAACTACAAAGTCCCTCTGGAGTCAAGCAGGGCATGCTTCATCTTTTGTATCAGGACAACTCTTCCACAGAGTGAAGTCCAAGACCAGACCACATCCTCCTGAATCTCCTCCAAGTCAAACTGCTCCAGGAGAACTTGAGTTCCAGCCTTCTCCTCAGCTTGGTCAGTGTGACACCCACAACCAAACATGCAGTCTGTCAGGGGGCTGTGGGCCAGTTCAGAACAGAGGAGAACATCACATCCTCCCTTACTCTAACCTTTATCAGTGCTACTGATGGCTGCTAAGACAGCTGAGACTGTCTTCTCCTTGGGCCTCTAGCCCCTCTGGATGAAGAACTATGAGAGCACAGGCCAGGGATCTGCTTCCATCTCCACCACTCCCCTGAGTCTGACTGTTCTGAATTGAGAGCAGGAAAGAAGCTGAGGTGGGGGACAGGCAATGAGAAGCAGTAGGGGCATGGCATGATTGCAAGGATAGAAAGCTGGTGGGGGTAGTGAGGTGGTTGTCCAGTAGCCCTAGGCAGGGCCAAAAGAGGGTTAGGACTTGAGGGTACACAGGGAGATAAGGGAAGGGGGAAGTATGGCCCTAGGAGCTGGGAGAGGCCAGGATGGGGATGGGCATCAGCCTGCCTGAGCTAACATCGCCCTGCTGTGCGAGAGGAAGTCAGTCACACATTAAGGAAATGTTGCAGCTAGTACTAAATTGGGAGGTGTCACAGGCAGCAGTGAGGACAGGTATGATTCGTGGGGCCCTGTGTGGCCCAAAACAGGGGCAGACATCATGAAGGAAGAGAACAGGGTTTCTAGGGCCACCCAGGAAGGATCTGACTGAGGCACTCAAAACAAGGGCCCTGGGGACAGAGGGTTACCTGACTTTAGAACCAGGCTCTAGGTTTGGTTTTTAGAAGTAGAGGAAACCTCCTCATTTTGCCCTGGGGCTGTGGGTTCTCTACTTAGGAGGACTCTGAGGGTGGGACATCATCTCCCAAGGATCCCATTTGTGGGAGGTGGGCAGGAGGGTTTCGAGCCCAAGAACAGACTAAGGGGATGGGCAAAGAAGGCTGCGAGGAAGGGTGGGCCAAGAAGAGAGAGGGCTGCAGGAAGGAGGGGAATGGGGCTGTCTTTCCCCTTAGTGCCCATAACACAGATGGATTTAAGAGCTCTATGGGTCCAGGCCTCAGTTGAGTGAGAGCTTTAGAAGAGGTGGGAAAGATAGGAAGAGAGCTGAGGAGCTGGCACTGCCCTTCTGCCGGCACAGCAGGCAGCAAGAAAGCAGGAGTAGTTCACTTGCTTGCAGGAAAGAGATAAGGAGAGGAAGGAGAGGAGGGAGGGCCTTGGGGAGCTTGACAGGAGGCCATGGGCTTAGCACTGGACCACACAGGTTGGAGTCCTGGCACTTCTGCTCACTGGTTGAGTGACCTTAAGGAAAACTGTTTGGTTCCTCTGCATCACAATTTCTTCATCTCTAAATGGGCATTTGTGATCGCATAACATATGTGAAAGGGGTTGAACCCCCTAAGCATTAATTCAATATTGGATGTTAAATTCTTATTTTAAAATACTATTAGTTACACTTTCCCACTTAAATCTCACAAAAGACCCTGGATGTGGGAAGAGCAAGAATTATTATTCCAGTTTAGCAAATGAGGAAATTAAAGCGTAGAAAAGTAAAGTGACTTGGCCAAGGTCACATTGTTAACAAATCATACGAGTGATAAGGCCTCCTGAATCAGAGAGATCAGATGTCTTCTCCTACATCAAACTGCTTGGTAAAAACAATGTGAGGGATTATTATTGAATGTGAGACCAGATGGACCTTGAAGTCAACTGTAACATGCAGAAAACCCCACGGGAAAGTTGTGGAGTGGCTCTCATTCAACATGATGATTGAGGAAAAAACTAGTGGGGCCATGGGGTTGTAGAGAGGGCCACAAATGACAGAAACTCTTTATTCTGTCTTCTAGTGGACCATGTCCCACTGATCCCACTGAATGTATGTGTCTGTGGCAGACATGGAGGGTATGAGCCTCTATATGATAAAACGTGTCTTTCTTCATGTGACAGTACTTCCGCCTGCATGTCTCTGAATCCATGGGGAGGTGTGTGTGTGTGTGTGTGTTTCACAGTGTCTGCTTCTATGGCACAGTTTGTGGATATGATGACCTCTCTGTATCTCTGTGTGACTTTTGCTGAGGTAGTGGTCGTGGTGTATGGCTCTGTGTGTGTGTGTGTCTGTCTGTCTGTACACCTTTAAGAAGTGGAATATCTCATTTGGTAGTGTGAGTGAGGCAGTGAGTCAGCTGAGGCTAAGGGAGGCGGGAGGAGACTGCTAGGTTACGAGAACAGGAAAAGGGAGAAGGGGAAAGTGAAGTCAGGATCAAGGAGCTACAGCTTTCCTCCTTGATCCTCTGTCCCAAATCCCTACAGAGCCCACCAAGAGCACAGGAGCCTTACAAAGTCCATAGGGGCCATTTCTCTTCACATGGATGTGAAGAGGCACTTTCTGCCCCTCCCCAAGCATTGGAGGGAGATGAGCCAGGACAGGAGGCAACCATCCCCCTGCCCAGCTCTTGGGCCCCAGATCAAGAATGTGTGGTGCCACCACTCCACCTGGTCTCCTTGTCACTTGACCCTTTGACCTTGCTGTTCTCTTTCCTCCCCAAAACAGGCCACCTGACCAGGACAGGAGGACAGGACAGTAGCATCAGGTCCTAGATGTTTACAGCCCCATCCACCTACTGTCCAGAACAACCCTGCCAAGGGTCAAGAACTTTCTCAACCCTTCAGCTCTTCCCAAGGCAGGCCTGTTCTGCAGCTGCCTTGCCTCTTGCTTCCTCCAGATGCCTGTGCCTAGCAGCCAGAAAGCCAGCTTTCCCTCCACCACCACCCTGGGGCACTGGGAGTTTTGTAATGCACCAACCTTCTGTGGCCTTCCACAGGCTTATGTGCACTGTGCCCTGCTCCTTCCTTTGTCAGAGGACAGGAGCCTGTAGTGTCTCTCCTTGGGAGAAGACAGGAACCCCTGGGCTTGGCCGGCCTAGGCTCTGGCCAGCCATCTCAGGTCATATAAGGTCAACAGTGTGGTGTGCCAGATCACCAGGAGTGGCAGAAGCTGAAGGGCGAGGATTAGGTTCCTCCGACTTTTGGCCTTCCCCCTACACGGGTCCAAGGATGTTCAATTCCGGCCGGGAAGGGGGGCAGGCAGCTGACTTGATGATGGAGGCTGGTGGGGAGGGAGCACAGAAGCGCTGGCCAGCCCAGGGCCAGTGACCCCTCCCTCTCCTGCCTGGGCGGGGCGCCAAGAAGGCCCAGCCCTAAGATGCCCAAACCCCAATCAATACAAGTTGGCCAGGTGATTACCTGCCTTGATCCCTGCGGCCCCTTCTCTGTGGAGGGGTCCAGGGTGGCTGTCACCGTGTTGCACTGGGGATGGTGGGAGTGGTGGGGTGGGGAGAGAGGGAGACCTTTTTGCTCCGGGCCCCCGCCGCCTCCATCGCCGCCACCCAGGCAGTTACTGTGGCTGCGGCCGCCAGTCCCTACCTTACAGCCTTTCGTGCAGGACCGGATTGAGTACTCTTCTGCCTGTAAGTATTTATGCAGCACGAGGTCGAACTCGTCATATTTTTCCTGAGCATGTCGGTCCAGTCGCTGGTACGCCTCGATACAGTTGCTACATGCCTCCCAGGCCCCGGAGCCCGGGCTGGCCACGACGGCCAGCAGGTCCCCCAGCAGGGTGTCCAGACTGCAGTCCAGGCTGTCGGGGCGGTCCATGCCCAGCAGCAAGTCCCAGACCGTGTAGGTGTCGCAAAAGGAGAGAGTGAAGTTCCGAAAGTGGCCTTTGAGCAAGTTTTTTTTGGCGTAGGGGAACTCGGCCGGGGCACGGGAAGGGGAGTCAGGGGGCCGCAGAGGGGGAGCCGGGGTAGTGGGTTCAAAAAGTCTCTGCAAAGATTCCAATTTGGTGCAAGCTGCGTCCAGCCCCGTGGGCTCGGGGATGCCGCCGCAGACCGGCCCGGGGCCGGCGGCGGGGGCGGCTTTGGTCTGGTTGCTGTATCGGGGGCCGCAGGCGCCCGGGGACGCGCGGGGTTCACCAGGCGACGGCGGCGGCAGCGGCAGCACCGCGCGAGAGGCACCGGCTGCCGCTCCCGGCCGGCCCCCCAGGCGGTCCGCATGGCGCTGCTCAGCTCTCTGGCCCGGGGCCGGGCCCCCGCGCACAGCCACAGATGGTCAGCAAGCAGCACGGTGAAGAAGAGCAGGGACGCCAGGGACAGTCGCCATCGCTGCGCCCGCTCGGAGTCGGCGCAAGGTTTGTCGCTTGGCCTGGGAGCCCAGCAGCAGCAGCAACAGCAGATAGTCAGCGCGGCGGCGTCTTTCCCCGGCCACATCCAAGCGCCCCTGAACATATTTCAGGGGGGGGTCCGGGCTGGAGGAGTAGGCAGGCGCGAGGCCGACGGCCGTCTCGGGCTGGCGGGCTGCGCACCGCTCCGCGCTTCTCGGCGCCGTCCAGGCTCTACCTCGGGGGCCGCATGGTGAGGCAGGCCGGCCGGCCCCGGGGCCCCGCTCAGGCCAAGAGTCGCGGGGCGCTCTCGTGCCGTCCCCGCGTCCCTCCCGCGCTCCCTTGCTCGCAGCCGGGGCGCCGCCGCCCGGCCCGCTAGGCGCTGCCCGGCGTCCCGGCGGGGGGCGGTGCGGGGCACTGGGGCGGTGGCGGCTGCGGCTGCGGCGCCGCACTCCTCATAGTGTCGGGCCCTCAGCTGCCCTCCGCTCCGCACCACTTCACTCCGCGCCGGCAGCCGCCCGGCTCGCACTCTGTTCCGGCCGTCTCGGCTCAGCGCTGCTCTGCGCCCCTCAGCGCCGCCGTGCGGGCCCCGCCGCCGCGCTCCGCTCGGCTCCCCTCGCCCCGCGCCGCTCCTCTCCCGCCCGTCCGCCCGCTGCCCGCTCCGTGCCGCTCCCTGCCTCGCTCGCGCCTTCCTAGGCCGGCCGGCTGGTCTGCTGCCCGGCCCTTCGGGCTTCGCTCGTGCTCCGACCGTTCGCCGGGGCCGGTCCCGGGCAGGCTCCGCTCAGGCTCCGCACCCGCTGCTCCCGGAGTTCCGGCTCAGGCGGGCCACCTGGCTCCCGGCAGCGCCACAGGCGCCGGACGCGGACACTGGGCTTTACTTAGTGCGCCTCTCGCTTCCGCCTCTCGTTCGCACCGCTGTGGCGGCCGCCCAGAGGCACGGCCCCGTGGCTCCCGCTGGCCATGCCCCCTCAGTCTGTCGCCATCTTCCGCTGTGCGGAGAACACCTTGAGAGCCCGTGTGCGAGTGTGTTTCGGGGGGAGCGGGGCGGAGAAAGAGGCACCAAGAGGAGGAGGGAGCGGGACTGGGGCCCCGAATGCGCCTGCGCCTCAGGACTCCCCCCACCCCCCCACCCCCAGCCCCCGCCGGCCGCAGCCTGTGCTGTTTGGGGATGTTTCCAGTCCACCCCCAACTCCATTCACTTCAGCGCCTCCGTTCATCCGCCCGCTCCCCGCGTGCACGCGCCACACGCTGAGTCCCAGGCCCCGGCGCTCCCCCTCCCCCACCAACCCGGCGCCCGCCTCTCTCCCCGGGGCCGCCCCTCGCTCCCCACCGGGGACTAGGGGACTTCTGAGGGTGATTCTAGGAGGCAAGGGGCACCTCCTTAGCGTTTCGCTGCCTCCCTAGGTTGCCTCCCCCTTCCCCATGACTAGGAGACGCTGGAGCCGGCTGCGGATCGGACCGGTCCCATGTCCCTAACTCTGCTGTCGCCCTCACTGTCCTGCCCGAGGCCAAGGAGGCCCCTGGTGCTGAAGGACAGCTCCCAGATCAGCTGCGGAAGAGGACTGAGCTTGGAGAGCAACCTGACCCAAGCAAGGCAGTGGGCTAAGACGGGTAGTAGTGGTGGGGTGTCGTTTTTGCCCTTAGGAAGGTTTCCAGCAGCCTCCCCCCAATTCCGGTACTAGCTTCCTGGCTCCCCCTACAGGCTGCTGAGAATAGCTGAGCGAGAGTTAGGGAAGCTGCGCCGCCGGGATGGAACCATGTGCTTGGGGCCCTTACTGAGTCACATGGCAATAGGAACTCGGACGTACAAACGCCCTGCCGCGCCACTAACCTTGTTTGGACTCCACAAAATCTCACATTGCTTCTGTGATGTACTTCCTTTCCCCGCTCCCTCCTACTCCCTGTAAATTGCGTTCTAGTTTTTAACCAACCATTGCCAGCAAGGATTTGATAATATTAAGAATAGTAACAATAAAGAAAATAACGTGTATTGAGCAGATAGTATGTGTTAGATACTTTCTAGGCACTTTGTATGCATTACTCATCTAATGTTCCCAACAGTCTTAAGAGCTAGATGTACTTTATGTTCATTTGCATATGAAGTAGCCCAGGTTTAGTGTGATTAAATTGCTAAGGTAACCAATGCAGCCAAGATAGAAACCCAGACTGTCTGGCCTAGAGCCACTCCGGTAAAGCCCTGGAAGGAAGAAGGATAGAAGACACAGACATGCCTTAAAGGAAATTACAGTCTATATGAGGAAATCAGAAATATGTATTGGCTAAGTGCAAGGATTCATGGACTGGAGACTTGGGTTCAGGTAGTAGTTCTACTATTGAACATGCTGTGTGCTCTGAGAGAATTCTTTCCCTTTTGGAAGCTTGGTTTTCTGTTGATTAACTTGAGGTGGTGCCAAGGGTTAAATGAGATGGGTAGGGATTGCTAGCACTACTTAAAGGTTGATTGGGGTGGGTATGTGAAAAGTTTCCAAAAGAAGAAGAATTTGACCTGATTCCTAAAGTAGTAGCAGAATTTGGGTGAGTGAGTGGATAGGGCATTCCAGATAAGGGAAATGTGGGTCTCATTCAACAAAAATTCCTTTGATAGATGGTTCAGGGCTGGCATGGTGCTTCACTGATGTCCTCAAGACCTTGGCTTTTGCTGAGCGTGGCAGCACACACCTGTAGTTTCAGTTGCTTGCGAAGCTGAGGCAGGAAGATTGCAAGTTCAAGGGCAGACTGGGCTACATAATGAAACCCTGTCTCAAAAAAAAAAAAAAAGAAAAGAAAACAAAAGACCCTGGCTTTTATCTCCACTATCCTTAAGTTTAAAGTAGGCTTTCATTCACTTGCTTTTTGCCTCAGGGTCATAAAATAGCTGCTGCAGCTCTGGGCTTCATGTCTGTATTCTTGATAGAAGAAAGGAACAGCCAGGGGGAAAGAAGGCTAGGGGCATAGGATAGGACATTCTATAGAGAGACTTTGGCTTTTGTATGTAGAATAGAACATTCTAGTGACATTTCTCCTATATCTTCTTCACTAGAACTATGTCATATGGATATTCCTAGCTGCAAAGGAAGCTGAGAAATCCAGTACTTTGGGCTGAGCACATTGCTGCTGTAAACAATGTTGGGATTCTGAAAGGAAGGAAGAAGAGAAAAATGGTTAATGGGCAGGCAACCAGTCGTATCTGCCGTGATCCCCAATCACCAACTGCTTGCCTGGACCACCTTTCCTCCATTTCTAAACCTCACAAATACTGTGCTTTGATTGCTGTACTTGACTTTCTCCTAGCAACTACAGCTGGGTTGTTCCTCTAGCACAGGATAGAAGAGACCTGCCTGGTTTAATAACAGCATATGTGAAAAAGACCTTGATTTGATCGTGAAGTCAATGTGAGCCAACAGAGTGATGATGCTGCCAAAAGGGGTAATTAGGTTTTAGGCTGCATTAATAGAAGTATAGAACCAGAACAAGAGAAGTGATGGTTCTGGCCTTCTCTACACTTGTCACATCCCACCTGGAGCACTGTGATCCATTCTGGTCAATCCATTTAAAATAAGATACAATGATGAAGTGCAAGGTGTCCAAAGGTGGGTTACTAGGCTGGTGTACCAGCAGCAACATCACATGGGAAATAGTTGAAGGCCCTTGACTTTATTTGATCTAGAGGTAAACAAACCCCACATAGGGGAAGGTGCAGAAGTACTTATTCAGGTTAGGATTCAAAGCCAAGAAGATTACAGCAAACAATAGTCTCAAGTGATTAAACGTGATGATGGAAGAGAGAATAAATAACAATCAATAACCACTTATACACTGCTTAACATGTACCAGGTACTGTTCTAAGCATTTAAATATATTAAGTCACTTAATTTTCTATGACAATAATTCTGTGAGGTAGGAAGTATTATTTTCTCCATTTTCCAGATGAAGAATCTGATGTACAGATAGGTTAAGTCACTCCTTAGAAGGCACTCAATTAACAAGGGCCTAGGGTAGAAATTGAACACATCAACTCTGGCTCCAGAGTTCATGCTCACCTTACCTCCTCACAGAAGAAGGGTAGTGACTCTGGGCAATTACTCAGACTCACACACACCAGGTAACATTTTCTGCTTCTTGATTGTTTAGCAGTCATGGGTAAGTTGGAACTGATGGAGCCAAGAGATAGAGGGCACCCTTTTAAGACCCACAACCCAGGAGATTCCTCCTAGATATTTTGATACCTTCCCAATCAAACCTTAGAGAAGTAAATGTCTACACTTTAGCCCACATTGTGCTTTCCCTCTCTCTTCCAATTTCTAATATGAGGAATCCAGCCTCATCCCTAGGTGATTGATGGTGTGGGCTCATCCTAAGATCCATTCCATGCTAGGCCACAAAGGAACAGAGATTTCCACCTCTGGGGTCACTATTACTCAAGAGCTTATAGTTTACAGAGTGCAGCTTTTTGGTCACTAGGCCCAGCTTCAGAGCCAACCTCTTCAAAGATACTAGGACCAACTCCTCCCTGCCGTGCATCTCCCATAGTCATCAGTCAAAGCCCCATCTCCAGCCTCACATTGATCCACATAATACTCTGCCTTTTTCGTCATTCAACCCAGCCTTGCAGGTTTTCTCCACCTCCCCACACCTCCACTGGACCTCTTGACCAGCTGCTCCCTGATAGGTATTCTCAGTCCCCTTTATGTAACAACCTCCACTCTGCTTCCCCTGCTGCCTTCTTATGTGAAAGCTACTTGTTGTCTTTTCCAGTACCAACACCAGTCAGAAGGTTAGGTAGTTGTCTTCCTTGCTCTCCATTGCTACTTCTAGACCATTTGCTTTCCTCCTTCTTGGAAAAGCTCCAGCTCTTTTGAGTCTTACATCATTTTTCCATTTTTTTTCCTGTGGTAGTGGGGGTTGGAACTCATGGCCTCATGCTTGCCAGGCAAGTGCTCTACCACTTAATCCATGCTTCCAGCTTGTGTCTCACATCATTTTGATGTGTCATTCACTCCTCATTGCTGACATTTATGGACGTCCTGATTATATCCTCTGTAGTGGCTTGAACTGTGTCCTACACAGAGGTAAGTTGAAATCCTAACCCTGAAGTACCTATGAAGGTGACCTTGTTTGGACATGGAT